CTCTATGTGTGTGTGTGTGTGTGTGTGTGTGTGTGTGTGTCTAATCCGGACATATTTGGGGTCCAGGCCCCCCGTCCAGACAATCCGGTTCCAGATATGCCCAGGTGTACAGCTGCCATGCGGTTAAGCGGTTGTCCAGATTTATCGTGGCAGAGATCCATTTCTTTGCCCGGACCGGTCCAGCATCCTAGTTCAAGTTTACCCCCACAAGCGGGCCCACCCACAACGCCAGAGTCGAAATCAACAATGGGCCTCACTCCGCGACTCTCCACATGTGCAAAATGATTAGGCCGCTAGAACATGGAAAGATAGGCATATTTTTTGTCTTCTGCGCATGAGGAGAGTCAGGGCGAGAGGCCCGTGGACGCCAGAGTCGGAATGACCAACGGTCCTCACTCCATGACTCCCTGTGCAAAATGAGAATGAATTCTCTGCTAGAACATGGAAAGATATACAGCCATATTTTCTGTCTATGTGCATGTGGAGAGTCGGGGCAAGAGGCCCATCAGAGCCAGAGTCGAACATGTGCAAAATGAGAATGAATTCTCTCCTAGTACATGGAAAGATACACAGGCATATTTTTTGTCTTCTGTGCATGTGGAGAGTCACGGAGTGAGCAGACTTGAAGTCACCAACAGGCCTCGCTCCGCAACTCTCCAAATGTGCAAAATGAGAATTAATTCTCCGCTAGAACATGGAAACATACACAGCCATATTTTTTGTCTTTTGTGCATGTGGAGAGTCGCGGTGCGGGGCCCGTCACTTGGAAGCCACGATGCCGGAAACGACAACGCCAGAGTCAAACCTCGGCCACTCTCTAAATGTGCAATGTGAGAATGAATTCTCCGATAGTACATGGAAAGATACACGGCCACACTAAACAAAAAGCCAAGAAAAAAAGATACACGCCGTATTACACGGCCATATTTTGTCTTTTGCGCATGTGGAGAGCCACGGCGCGAGGTCTACGCGCAGGCCCACCCGGCCTGAAAACGACAAAAAAAAAACAGAGACCAGGCACTTTTCCTTGGGCCCGTCCTGTCCCTCAGTCGTTTTCCCGAGACTGGCCGCCCGGGGCTTGCGAGGGAGGGTCACACGAGACCTGTGTTTTGTTTTAATAGTTTATTAAGGATAATAAATCAAATAAGAGGAGGAGGAGGAGACTTTGTGAGGAATGCGATATTCTTCTTCTTTCTTGCTCCACTCTTCTCGCTCCTTTGTCTTATTCCACTCTTCGGTTAGTTGACGATGTGATGTTGGTAATCGCATCTCTCTCCGGTGAAACCTTGGAATGGGTACTGCAATGTTTTTCGAGGTGCTACCCCCGGAATCTTACCCTGAAGCAAACGGATACGGGGTATGGGTGTTTGGACTTCCTGGGATGTGAGGTCAGGTGTTCTAACACCTTTCCTTACCTCAGGAGTGTTCAATTGTCACGAAATGAGACAAGCCTGTGGGCGTCGGAGGAACTGGAATTCTAGACCGGACAGTCGTTCCTTTCATGGGGAAATAAGCAGCAGAAGAGTGCTGCTATCCGTAGCTACCTCCACCGGGTGTGTCCTGTCCTTGAGACGGGAGTTAAGAATGAAGGATGTCCCTGCAAGCTTCTTTGAGAGAACGTTGCGCAGATTTGCCTTTCGGCGGGATTTGATTTGGAAACAGACGGTGGAATTAGTGACGGTTTGGTAGATACTCTGACAGGGTTTGCTCGTCATTTCCATCATGGATCGTCGTATTTCGGATGGAGTAGCCACTTGGAGTCGGCAGTACTGTTTATTTTGGTACCTCTTGTAGTTGTTCTTTGTATTTCTGGTGTCTGTTAATTTGTTCTTTGACAGTTTCTGCCGTGGTGGCGCATGCCCTCTGATGGGTACGTAAATAAATAAAATGGACTCTTTGAGGACGACGGTTCAGATAGGGCTAGCTTAGGATTTCTTCGGGCCTATCGGTGTTTGACCCAGGTTGTGAAGCTTGGTTGGATTTAGCCTTTGAGTAGGACACCCGGACCGGGTCTGTACCAGGCCTGGTATCGGGAAGCATGTTTTGGACACGGTACCATGCATACATAGACTATACAGTGTGTCAGTACGACTGTCTCGACCTCTTACGGAACGCTCACTGCCGTTCGCGGTAGTGATCGTCGGGTACGTGGATTGTTCGGTGGTTCTTGGGGATGCGGAATGTTTAATGCTGCCGTAATTTTCGAGAATCTGTTCCTACACACTATGCTGTCCAGTCACTCGCTTTTGTGTTTGACTTGACTTTCTCATGTACTTGAGATGTGATATGATGCTGTTATTCCACTTCTTCACGGGCTGCAATGAATGGCATTGTCTCAAAGTTGAGTCTAGCATTATAAATTGGTCAGGATCATAGCAACGAAAAGGAGGAGACGGAGAAGGAGAAGGAGGAGAAGCAGGAGGAGGAGGAGGAGGGGAGGAAGAGAAGGACCACGAGGAGGACCCAGAGGACAAGGAGGACAAGGAGCACACGAAGGAGGAGAAGGTAAGGAGGAGGTTGAGGAGGACGAGGAGGACGAGGAGGACGAGGAGGAGGAGAAGGAAAGGACTTGAGTCATGATTACCTGAGGGTACGAAGTGGTATCTTCTTTGCCAAGACCTTAAAAGCAATTTTGCGAACTCCATCATCTGCATCCGAGATTCTTGCAAGTACATCCGGAATGGTGGTCACAGAAATCGGAAATGCAGCAACAACAGCCTTTCTCACATCCTGCAAGACCACAGTAATGCCACATTTATATCCATTCCTTATTGCTCCTTTTTTCTATGCAATGCCGCGTGTTTCTGTCATTGAGCAAACCGACTTCGACAATGTCACCTGTCCGCTATCAGTTCTTCTTCCTACCAGAGGGCTTAGCTTTTCTTCCTCTACCAGAGGGTAGGGGGTTTAGTTGTGTAGCAAAAGTACCGATTTACATCAGGTAGTGTTTGGATTCCTTCCAAGGATTGGTAGGGGTTTTAGTTGTGTACCAAAAATAACGACTTACATCAGGTAGTGTTTGGATTCTTTCCAAGGATTGGAGAAAGTTTTAACTTCACACAAATCGATAATCGATAGGATGTGGTTTGAGCTTCCTACCAGAGGGCTTAGTTTGTCTTCCCACCAGAGAGCGTCATTTTGCTTCCTACCAGAGGGCTTAGTTTTCTTTCCTCTACCAGAGGGTAGGGGTGTTAGTTGTACTCCAAAAATAACGATTTACATCAGGCAGCGTTTGGATTCTTTCCAAGGATTGGAGAAAGTTTCAACTTCACACAAATCAATACTCGATAGGATGTGGTTTGAGCTTCCTACCAGGGGCCTTAGTTTTCTTCCCACCAGAGAGCGTCGTTTTTCTTCCCACCAAAGGGCTCTTTTTTTTTTCTCTACCAGAGGGTAGGGGTTTTAGTTGTATACCAATAAAGAATCAAGTATTTACGTCAGTTATTGCTTGGATTCGGGTTCTTTCCAAGGATTAGAAGCCGTTTTAACTTCCCACAAATATGTTTGGCTTCTTAGCAAATACCTTTTGGATTCCTTCCAGGGATAAGATTTAAGGGATAGGATTTAGCTTTTTTTTAGATTCCTTCCAGGGATAGGTTGCAGGGGTGTATCAACTGGGGTGTAGCACATAGGGTTTTAGCAAATACGAATTGGGCAGATATGATTTTCAGAGGTAGGGTTTTAGGGTTTTAGGGTTTTAGCAGATAGGGTGTTAGGACATAGAAGGTGTTTTAGCAGATAAGCTTTTCGTAGGTGGAGTTTTAGAAGATATGGTTGTTTTTCCTAGCCTACCAGAGTGGCCCGGGACCAGTTGCCCAGGTGGGCCAAAAAGAAAAACAAATAAAGAAATAAAAATATAAAATACTTTTTTATTTTTTTGGTACAGAAGTTCGATGTGTACCTGAGGCAAAAGTCCTGCAGTTTATTTTTCTGCAAAACATTGCTTTTTTCGGATTTTTTTGGTTTTTTTTTTTCTGGGACCTTCCCTGGTCCTTAGCACGACCGCCCGGGAAAACAAGGTGGTTTGGGCGGCCCGGCTGGTAGCCTACTATTTTTTCATATTTCCTGAGGGCTTCAGTGGATCAGGTTTCAGTCATACTCCAAGAGGATTGGAACTATCAATGATGAAGATAGGGGGTTGTTTTCTTTTTCTTCTTTTTTTTCCTCGTCTTTTTCTTCTTCTTTTTCTTCTTCCTTTTCTTCTTCTCAGGTCGCTGAATGTACGCATCTGAGCATTGCTATGTCTGTGCACGAGCTATGTCACTGAATTTGTAATGCATTGACTGCTGGGGATTGGCCTTGCTATTCCCTATTCTCTATTCTATTCTTTTCTTCTTCTTCTTCCACTCTTTTCTCCTCGGTCGAGGGTTTGAGAGCACTTCAGACACGTGAGGGGTTTTGAGCTATGTCATTTTATTTTCGTTGTAAGTTGTAACAATTCTGGTTTCCCTGGAATTTAGTACAATTCAGAGCCATGAGAGAGGCTTTGTAGAATTTTCCCCCCAATGATACCGGTATATTCCTCTTCCGAGGATGAAACAATGAAAGGTTGTCTCGAAGTAATGACAAGGCATGAAGGGCATGACATTCTTTTTCGGGAAACGAGATAAATCAACATGAAAATAAAGCTACAAACCCTTCTTTATACAGCCATAATGCACGAGGATGGACAACGATGAAGACAAGCGAGCATAAAAAGAGGAATTCTCTTTTCTTCAGTGCTGGTCCCCGGATGGACCGGGGGACCTTCGACGGACCGGGAGCCTACCGGTCCAACCGGGGGTTCACTGGCCCGGCAGGCCCCCGGTTCTATTTGGCGCACTCCTTTTGGGGGGCGGTACGGGGGATTTTCGGGCGTCCCCGTCCCCGCCCAGCCTCTGGGAGGCCGCCGCCACAAGTGGAAAAAAAAAAACGGGCCCTACCGGACCCTGTTTTCTTTTGAGAACGCGCAGCCAATCTCTGCCGCCAATCAGCGCAGATCGACAGTGGAGATCAACCGCGCGTTTCCAAAAAAAAAGGGGGTCCGGTAGGCCCCCGTTTTCGAATTGGAAAACGCGGTCGATCTCGACCACAGATCTGCAGATCTGCGGCCGAAATCGGCCGCGTTTTGAAATGTGAATCGCAGCGTGGTTTTGTCCTGCCTCCGCCCCTCCGCCCCACCTGCCCCATGCTACAGCAACATCACACAGCGTTGACGTCGTGCCATTCAGCATGCACATCGACGTTGTGTGCTGCCACCACGCGACCAGTGCCAGCGCCCCGTCTCCAGCCCGCCATCAACCTCTGTGTGCAGCTGCTTCGCCCCGCCAGCCCGCTTTGTCGCAACAGCCCCCCATAGCCGCGAAGGTAAGTCCACCAGCGCTCCTCCTCTTCTTCTTCTTCTTCTTCTTCTTCTTCTTCTTCTTCTTCTTCTTCTCCTCCTCCTCCTCCTCCTCCTCCTCCTCCTACCTCCCCGCTGAGCCCCAGCCGTACCACCCCCACCCCAACCCCACCCGCCCCCGAAGAAATTCCTGAGTTTGCAAATTTTATTGCA